AGCTAAGGTGTATATTTAACTTTATATGAGGGTTTGCCTGCTAGTAGGAATATATAGGGTTTTTATATTATTTTCCTTAACTAGTAGAGGGTATAGGTTAAAGTGCCTATATAGTGTTTCTAGAATTATGCCTGCGTATAGGGTGAATTTTGCTGTAGTCTTTTTGTGGGGGGGCTATATTATAACTATAAACTTAAGTATTAGGTAACTAAAATAGGATATTTATATTATAAGATTATAAGAATAATAGGGATTTATTTAGAATAGAAGAACTATAGTATAAGTTATATAATAATAAGATAAAACTAAATAAATAGTATAGATTACTAAGTACTTAATAAAAACTACTAAATACTTACTAATAATTACTAAATACTTACTTATACTTAGTTAGGAATTAATAATAAAATAAAAAGACTATTTAGAACTTATATATAGTATAACTTTAAGCTTAATTTATAATTAGACTTCTATAGCTCTTTAGTAATTAACTTAGTATTTATCTTTATAGATACTCTTAGTTTACTTTTATTATAAATTACTTATTAAGTCTAAGACTAATTCCCTTAGTTTCTAAAGACCTAATCTATTATTAACTTATAACTTATAACTTAGATTATAACCTTAGTATACTATTATAACGTGTTAATCCCTAGCTTCTATTAGTAGACCTTACTATTAGATAGCTAACTATAATAAGCCTGCTCCTTTCGCAGGTTCTTATAATACTATATAATAATATATATTATGTGAATATAGCAACTAGGATGCTACGTTCGCTATTAAACTTAGAGGCTACTAACGTAATAACTAATATATCTTTCTTAGGATCTACTCTCAGCTTAACTCTTATATATATTAATAGTTAGGTAGGAACTATAATAGGCGCTTAAGTGGGGAGCAAAACTATTTCAACTTAGCGCTTTACTTTATACAGCTGCAACTTAAGCAGTCTAGATATACACACTGCGCACACTATATACTTATTAATAAGGTGCTTAATAATCTAAATAAAGCAGGCTAGGCAGCAGTAGTTAGGTGGTGCGACTTTATACCTAAGGCTTTAGTCGAAAGGATTATAGTTATCACGCACAGTTAATCCCTACTTAATAGAGATCACAGTGAAAATATAAGTAAGGCTTTCGTTTTACAGGCAGAAACAGGATAAGAAGGTATAGAGCTAGTTGTTTAAGGAAGTAGAATTAGCAGAGATTAAAAAGAATATAATAGTTGTTTTAGGACTATAAGGGATCATCGTTTTGCTTCTAATAGAATCAAAGTCGTTTCAACTAGGGGTTTCACTCCAGGTAAGAGGCTGCTGATAAGTGACAGAGTGCTACTCAAAAAGGTGAAAATTTAAAATTACTTGCCTCCTGATGAGAGGCTCAGATTTGTGATATAAAGCATAGTTACAGTCGCTACGAAAGGCTGCCGTGCGAGGTTTTCACGACTTCCGCATTTACCTATAGCACTCATTAAGAATGCTTTCGTTTTACAAGTATGTGAAAAACCCATCATCAAACCACTTCGGTCACGTAGCTTTCGACCGACGGGACCTCTGACTTCCTGTTTCGCGTCCCCTCCAGTGTAAACCTAGACTCAAGCGTCTTGTCCATACTATGTTTGCGAATCACCAAGCTAGTGATGAATCCAGAAGCAGCCGTTGCGGTCATTACCCAGAACACGCCCTGAAACCCTTCTACGTACGCGGACAGAGCCCCGAGCCGTACCGGATCCCCAGAGGCCATCCCAGCTAACTCTGTTGCAAATGCTTCGGCATTCTGAGCAATAGTCTCTGGCAACTCGAGCTCGCGCAATCGGTTGACCATGACATTCTGGAATGTGGTGCCCCCGACCGCGACGCCAACGCTCATCCCTAGCGTGCGCATGAAGGCGTACATGCATGCAGCACGACCGCAGTCTTCGATGCGACTGATGGCCTGGGTACCGACGTTGACGCTCGTGAGGACCATGCCATTTCCGATGCCGAAAATGGCGAAGTAAATGGCCCACAATGCGGTCGTCGTTTTCTCGTCCAGCAAGACAAGCAAGCCGCATCCTACCGTCGCAAGAGCCCAGCCAGACCAGATAGCCCAGCGGAAGTGGCCAAGCCGGGAAGTCAACACGGACACGACGATAGAGCCCGGGAGGAGGAGGCAGGTCACAGGAAAGAGGTTGAGACCTGACTGAGTGGGCGTAACAAGGCGGACTGAGATGAAGTAAAACGGGATGTAGTATAGCCCGCAGAAGAGGAGGAAGCCTTGACAAAAGGCTCCGAAGTAGACGGCCACCGCGGACCAGGAGTAGAAGAGAGAGGGGCGGAAGAAGGGTTCTGTTGCGCCGTATTTCTCCCAGAACATACAGGCGGACACGGCTACAGCACCAACAATGATGGGAGCGATGGTGGCGGCGGAGGACCAGGGGAACTGGACGCCGGCCCATGAGATGCCAATGAGGAAGCTCGTCATGCCACCAATGAAGAGAAGACCGCCTATTCCATCAACTCGGAGGAGTTTGGAGCCAAATGAGGTCTTATCCGTGGAAAGGCGGACAAATAGAGGCACCATAATGAAGCCGAGAGCGCAGAATGGCAACTGTTGAGTAACACGGATGTCAGAGACATAACGAATCTGAAATTGATAATCAGGAATCCCACTCACATTGATGTAAAAGCACCATTTCCATGTCGCTTTCTGCACAAACAGCCCGCCAACCAGTGGCCCCAGCACACTCCCGAGAGCCCAGGCACCCAGTACAAAACTGAAGTATTTGGGCCTCAACCTCAATGGGACGATATCTGCGAAGATGATCTGGCCCATTGTTATAATACCCCCGCCGCCTATCCCCTGCAGGGACCGTCCAGCCAGCAAGACAGTGAAATCGCGTGCGAAAGGGGCACAGAGCAGGGTGCCAAGGGTGAAGAATGCGAGAGAAACAAGGAGCAGCTCTTTGCGGCCGAAGATGTCAGAGAGGGAGCCGATGAATGGCTGGAAAACGGCGCAAGGCAGTAGATAGGATGTTCCAGCCCAGAACGCATCGGTCGCGGAGCCGTGCAGGTCGAGGGCAAGGTCCTGACGAACAGATTTGGGTCAGTATGGTTGTTCAGAGAGAAAGGATAATCGCGGAACGAAGGAAAAGGCAGCTGCCTACAGGTAGCACTGGAACTAAGATTGTGGCATCCAAAGCTACCATTAGAGAGATGATAGATATGGTGGCCATGACTGCGTATTCTGCCCGACCTGGCCTCCACTCCAGCTCTTGTTCTTGGTGCTCATTTGCATTCAACGTCGTCGCCGTGGAAGGGTCCAGCGATGTGACGTGCTCTGTTGGTGCTCTTGAGTTCTTGGAAATGATAGACAACATGATGTGAATGAAGAAAAAGTAACTGGGGAATGATGTTCATCAATGGGGCTTGAACGGAGGGAGGCAAGTCTCAGTGATGTTATAAAGATCATGGGAAACAAGATTCCCAATCTTGAAGGAGAACTGACATAAGGATTTCAAGAATGGCCTGTAGACACACGACAATTAACTCCGATGCATCTCATATGAAATCAGACATTGGAAGGAGTCGCAAAACCTTTGATTCGTTGCAATCTCGATATTCAAGGCGGATACGGCCGTTTGCAGCATAATTTCAAGAGCCTTATAGCAGCCACACTGATAACAGACAAGCTGAAGATGCCGATCTTGGCACCATCTCCGTGAGCCCTGAGACATGCTCATATAACTTTCTGATATGGATGTTTCCTCCCTTCAGAGTTGTACCCGAAACCAGCAGCCCGAGCAATGAAATCTGAGTTGCACCCTCATCGTGGCGGGCACTAAGATAAGCCTGTCTCAGTGCTTAAAGAGATCAGGGTTAGATACATTGTGCCACGACCCACACGAGTGGGAAATCTAGATTTCGTTCGAGAAAAGAACATACGGTTCTAAATTCGAGAGTTATTCGCAAAAGAAACGCGAAAGGTTTACAGGTTCTCATTCGTTTGAACAATCGCCAGTTGAGAGCTATAATATTTTGACTCTTACTAGCCCGGCGTTGGGGGGAGCGGGGGAGCAATTGGCTCCTGTACACGCTATGGTTGAGCAACATACCTTGGCCGCCCATCTGTGCTTCAAATGAAGATATAGGGTCAAGAAGTCAAATCATCATGGGTAAGGTTCTGGCGGTGGTCAGTTCCTTAGGTAGCCGTATCCCGGAAGCAGTTTGGCGACCCGGTAGATTGGGTCGTGCTCCACCAGATAGAGTTAACGACCGCACCCGTAAGACATTGTCCGATTTTCTTACCAGCCAGGCGGGCCTGCCCAAAGCCACGCAGCGCCCAGGCCCACTGAGCAACTTCACGCATCCAAGCCCCTGCCAAGCGCCTCTGCCGTGGCTGGCTGGCTCGTCCGGCACGCAGACATGGCTGACGCCCCATTCTGGAGCTGGATAACAGCGCCTGCCACGATCCGTTCTTTATCTGGCTCCCACGACAGCCGGTCATTGGTCAAGGTCCGAGGGCTGCAATTTGGTTGGTTTTCCCAACGGCGATAGCTGAGCTGAGTTTCATGGTACTCTATGTGTTCAACTCGACGCGAAAGGCGCGAATCGTAAGCGTTGGACCTCGGCTTCCTCTCAAAGAGGCTGGCGCGGCATGATTGCCTATTTTCGAAGAATTTCGATAACGTTTGCAGTGTCGTTAATGCCACCTCAAGCCTCCCGTGCTCCTCTAAGCGACTAACTGCGTATTGATATCGGCTGTTGAATGCGTATTCAGAGGGCTATCACAGGCCAGGAGTGTTGCTTTGAACCTCACTAACTTATACTTTACTTTCTTCGAATTTAATTTAAAGTGTGGAGTGACCTTCCTTCAAACGAAGGATCTGTTATGATGAGTGTCAGACACAGAAGCACTGCACTACGAATTACATAACTGGCATCTTTGTTCTCTATCTGCCTTACTTTGCTCTCATATCTATTATGTCTGTATCTTTCTTAGAGCAAGTTCATCACCATGGGCAGATCTTCAACTCGCTGGGCCCTACTAGGCTTCAAAGCCCTCGGACCGTCGATCTTCGTCCAAGAAGCTCCTCGGTCCTCCTCATCTGTATCTTCAACATCTTCAGAGCTCAGCTCCATCTCCTTGGAAAGCATCAATGAAAAAAGCCCTACTCTTATCCTTCTCACCTCTTGGACGGGCGCAGACCCGAGAAACGTTGCCAAGTACACGAAAAGATACAACGAGATTTACCCAGAGACTACTATCATGGTCATTACAACGGTAATACATGATCTCGTATTCCGCTCAACCAAAGAGAAGGTTGCAACGCTAGAGCCGGCCGTTAAGTTCCTCCGGAGACATATCAGCACACAGTCTAAACGACCTACCATGTTACTACATGCATTTTCGGAGGGAGGATCAAACAAGGCCGTCTGCCTTGCTCGAGCATATCTGGGCGCTACGGGCTGTCAACTACCCGTGGGTGCTTTCATTTTTGATAGCACACCAGGCAGGCCACGGTTCTCGTGTAATGTGGCGGCCTTCAAGAGGTCACTACCTCGCAACAAGGTTGTCCGTGCTGTAGGGGTCCCGGCCGGCGCTGTTGTGTTGGGCATGGTGTATGGAACGTATCACGTGCTGAAGGGGCCTGAGAATAACGTTATCTCCCAGACGCGCAAGGCACTGAATGATGAATCGCTGTGGCCTGTCACTAGCGCACCCCGGACATATGTCTTTTCTGAGGCGGATGATCTCATTGGGTGGGAAGACATCGAGGACCACGCATGGGAAAGTGCTGAGCTGTTAGGGCTTGACAGCATGCTGCTTCGATTCAGAGAGACTAGGCATTGCAATCACGCCCGAGGAAATGAGGATGAGTACTGGACTGCCGTAATGAATACTTGGGAAGCGCGCGATATGTAAGGTAGAAAAGGGGTTTCAATAGGTCTAATTTCCGTATGTAATTTGCTTGTACTACCGCGGTGACTTATTATAAGAATGACATCAACGGTTTATTGCTGCCGTTTTCTCATATTCAAGTTTTCCTTTGCTCATGTCTATCTTTTATTGCTGTACTGACGTTGTAGGACAGGCTCAGACTTTCTGCAAACTTATTATTTCCCTTCTGGCGGATCGATCACATCATTCTGGGTGGGACAACATGGGTGTACAATGTTTGAAGCCCACGTGGTGGAGCTAAGAAACATTAGCAGTCTAATCAAAATTGCTGCCAGTATCCACGCTAGTACTGTAACAGATGTACATTCCGGTGGATGAACTTTCGTTAAGTCTACATGACCATCCTCCACCAGAATTTCAATCATGTTTTTTCGGAGTCTGAACCGTGTCGACATACTGGATGCTAGATATATAGCTAATACCTAAATCCATATAAACACTAGGCTTCATCGATATACATTCTAGTTTTAGCAAGACTGATTGCAGCGTTTATATATTTCTCAGCTAAGCCGTCATACGGATATGTCCCTTCCAAAAGACTTTATTTGGGGCTTTGGCACTGCTAGCTACCAGATTGAAGGCGCTATTAGCAGTGATGGCAGGCTTCCTTCAATTTGGGATACGTTTTGCAATATTCCTGGTAAGATAGCAGACGCATCTTCTGGAGCCGTCGCCTGTGATTCCTATAACCGCACAACCGACGACATTGCTTTGCTCAAGCAGTATGGAGCTAAGGCTTATCGATTCTCCATCTCGTGGTAAGACGAAATCTCCTCATTGCTCTCCGTTCTGTTATCCCAGATGCTGACATCATTTAACCAGGTCTCGCGTAGTCCCTCTTGGTGGCCGGAACGACCCTCTTAACGAGGCAGGTCTCCGTCATTATGTCAACTTTGTGGATGCTCTCTTAGAGGCCGGAATTCAGCCCATGGTTACGCTCTACCAGTGGGACCTTCCCGAAGCCCTTCAGCAGCGATACGGCGGTCTACTGGACAAAGATGAATTTGTGGCAGACTTTGCACAATATGCTCAGACTTTGTTCAGGGCCCTGCCAAAAGTCAAAATCTGGATGACATTCACGGAGCCATGGATCATATCAGTTTTTAGATATAATCGCGGAGTTTTCGCTCCCAGCAGGTGCAGCGACAGGCTAGTTGCTAGCATCTCTGCAAGTGCAATCAGATTAGTAAACTATTTAAGTTAACTAGTTAAAATGAGGCTATCTCTATCCCTTAAGTAGTTAATTTAACCCCCTCTAATTAAATTAACTAACTTAATATCTTATAATCTAGCTAATAGGAGGCTATAGATTAGTTAAGGCCCTATTTATTTAGGTATACCTAGCTATTAAAATATACTACTATTACTAACTTTTTAATTACTATATATTCTAATAAGGTTTTTTAGAACGCCCTTATAATACTAGTTAGTAGCTAATCTTTCTTAAAATCTCTAGAGGGATAGAAATAATTATAGTAAATTAAATAGTATAAGTATTATTAGGATTAGATACTATTTATAAAAGATATTTAGTATCTTATCTTATTCTTATTATTTATATATATTATTACTTTTATTATCTTTAAACTAAAGATATCTACTACTACTACTACTTTATTATTAACTACTAATATATATACTATCTTAAGTACTTTATACTTCTAAATCTCTTTATAGATTATAAATACTCTTACTACTATTATCCCTCTAAATCCTATAATTAATAACCTTATATAGATTATTATAAGTAATAAGAGGTATATACTTAAAGCGTAGCTATTATAAAAGTAAAGGTAAGGTTAATCTAGTTAGATTTAAGATTATAGTACCTTCCTTATTAAGGTTATTTAGAGCTATACTAAGAGGTCTTTTTAGAATTATAATTAATATAACTTAAAGGGTAGCCTAAGAGTTTTTAGTACTACTACTATATCTACCCCTATAGAGTACTTACTTTAGTATAGTTATCCTAGCTTTCTCTCTATACTAATTATACTCTAATAACGCTAAAATGCCTATAATATATATAAGATTTCTCTCTACTTAGATAAGAACTCTAATAATACTACTCCTCTATTATTAATATATATATTAACCCCTCTATTACTAAAGAGGCTCTAGCTTAGTAATTTAAATATCTTAAAGGCTAAAGTAATAACTCTATATAATCTCTATATAGCTACTATTATTTTTACTAATCTCCCCTTCTCTTATTTTAAGAATATTTATTTTTAGTAAGTACTATAGTATTATAGTATAGAGATTATTAATAAGGTACTATAGAGGTATATATCTATTTATAACTATTTAGATAATATCTATTAGTATAGAGAGAGGCTATTAATAATAGAACTTCACTTAGTAGCTTTAAAAATCTATTTATTATTTAATCTATAGTTATCTCTAAATATTTACCCCTTTATAGCTATTATTTATTATTTTATTAATAAACGTAGAACTTTATAATCCTATTTTCTAGCCTTCTATTAATATTATAGTAATTATAGTAGTATTACCCTCTTAGAGACCTTTATTAATATTATTAACTAGTACTAGATTTAGGATTAGATTAGGGTAATAATCTCTAATAATACTATAACTAATAATAGCTATCTTTAGGCTTTCTATTAAAACCTTAATTTAAAGATAATAGAAATAGATATAAAAGCCTAATATATATAGTACTATAGCTATATCCTTAATTTTATAACTTAGGTATTCCTTTTTAGCGCTAATAAGGGGACTCTTAAAGCTAAGTTAGATTACTATTAGTTAATAGACTAATATAAAGAGGATCTTAAGCTTTAATAGAAGATTAGCCCTATTAGCTAGCTCTATAATATTATTAAGTTTATCTAGTTATTACTATAATACTATAAATAGTACTAAAAAGCTTTAGTAGATATTAATAGAGATTCTAAAGACTTCTAGATCTTCTTAAAGTTATACTAAGAAGCTTTTTTTATCCTAAATAATAATACCTAATAGAATAGTATATATCTTATAATTTAGAGAGCTATAGAGAAGAAGATAGAGATCTAAAACTTTATATTATTAAGTAATAATAATATAGATATTAAATAATATATCCTAAAAATAGACCTTCTCTCCCTAGATAACTAGAAGGTATTAACTAAGATAGGTATAATTTTAGAGCCCTTCTACTATTAGATAAAGAGATATAAAGGATAAAGTATTAATAATAGTTATAATTAATTTTAGGAGGTTATAATAAGTACTAAATATCTTCTTTCTTATCTACTAAACTAGAAGATATATTATAAAGTTATAATCTCTCTATTTATTAATAATAATTTTAAAGATTACTTATAGTAGTTATAGTTATATTTAGGCTAAGGTTATTACTACTAATTTTATATATAAACCCTCCCTATTTATATTTATAAAGACTAAGTATTACTAGCCTTATAATTAGCTTTATAATTTAATTTACTTAATAAGAGATAATAAATCTTCCTCTATAGTAATATTAAATAAGTTTAGTAGAAGTTATAAAAGTATTATAAGTTAATAAGAGACTTATTACTCTTTTCTATAGTAATTATTCTATATCTATTATTTAGTATATTATACTTATATAATACTTAATAAGAAGATCACTAAAAAGAGTAAGTTAATAATACTCTGAGTAGTTTTATAAACTACTTTAATAAGTAGTATTATAAAGAATAGCTAGAGGATATACTAATTAAACTAGAAGTAATACTAGTATAATATCCTATTAATCTTAAAACTTAGAGTAATAATAATATTTACTTCTAGTAATAAGTTAATAGCTAGTACTATTAAACGCTACTTTAAGTTAATAAGCTTAATATCTTCTTCTAGAGGCCTTTAGAAGCTATTAATAACCCTATTATATAGTAGTTATAGTAGTTAGAGATATTCTTAGTACTCTACTAGCTTATTATTAATATCTTTACTATACTAGTGATATCTACTAACTATAAGAGGGCTTTTAGCTAGGCTAAGTTAACCCTCACTTTATAGAGGCTTATAATAAGCCTTAATATTATAGAGAGTCTCTAACTAGTAAAGAACTAGCTAAAGAGGGGGGTTATACTACCTAGTAATAACTTTAAGTTATTAGGATTATTATAAATTTTTATATATAGCTATAACGTATTTTTATATAGTAATTAATTTATTTTAATTGCAATTAGTCTAATTAATTAAAAACACTAAAAAAAGTAGCTAATTCAGTAAGTTGGGGGGTTAAAATTGACTTGATTGCACTTGCGGAGATGCTGCTGGTTGCCCCGAGTGGCGACAGCAGTCTCGAGTGCTGGATCGTTGGCCACAACATACTGCTGGCACATGCTACCGCTGTCAAAATCTACCGAGAAGAGTTTCAATCAATGGATGGGGGTGAGATTGGCATTACTCTGAACTGTGTGTAGAATCAGGAAAATGTGACAAGGTCAAATTTGAGCTAACCTGTTACAGGCGATTGGGCTTATCCGTTCGACACCGACGACGAGAACGATCGTGCCGCATGTCACCGTTTCATCGACTTCTTCCTTGGTTGGTTCGCAGATCCGATCTACCGTGGATGTTACCCCGCTACTATGAAGCACCAGTTAGGCAATCGACTTCCGACTTGGCAACCGGAAGAGATCAAACTTGTCAAGAGGAGCAATGACTTCTTTGCCCTTGACTACTACTCGTCGACATTTGTGAAGCACAAGGATGTGCCACCTTCCCTGGATGACTATATGGGAAACGTTGAAGTCACTTGGCATAACATCAGAGGCGAGGAAGTTGGTCCTGAATCTGGTTTGTACTACATGCGTCCGAACGCGGAGGGCTTGCGTCATTTACTCAACTGGATCGCCGACCGATACGGACCCAAGATCTACATTGTCGAGAACGGCACCAGCATCAAGGGTGAGAATGCCATGCCCATGAGCAAGGCACTCGACGATTCATTCAGATGCGACTTCTATCGCAATCACATCAACGCCATTATCAAAGCCCGGGTGGAAGACAAGGTGAATATTATGGCATATATAGCTTAGAGCCTTTTAGATAACTTCGAGTGGGCGGATAGCTACAAGACACGCTTCAGCGTCACCTAGGTCGACTTCAGAGACAATCAGAGACGGTATCCAAAGAAGAGCGCTCGACTGATCCGAGATTTATTCACAGCAAACTTAGAGGGAAATTAGCCCATTGGTAGCTTTGATCAGCACATGAGAGCAATGTCGGGAGTGAAGCTCAGAGCATTTACTATGTTTCTGTACGTAGTGCTGCCTGCGTAGGGTTGCAACTGGTCGTAGATTAATTTAAGCTTCGCGAACTATTCTTTGCCTCAAGCCCAGCGGCTTTCCAATTGGTTGAATTGACAATAGTAGTAATTAGTTGGGACATGACAATATCAAGCATAATCAGTCTGAGTAATTCACAATCACCGTCTCAAAGTTTTAATCGCTATTTCCATGACATATTTCTTCTTTTGAATGCTGGCTGCAACTCGCGTGCTGTCTTCCTCGCCTTCCAGTAATATTTTTTGGGACGGTGCTTCTTATGTTCTCAGCCATCACATCGTGTCACTCCAATACCAATGGCACAGAACGAGGGCCCTCCGGCATCCTCGACATGTCCCGTAGCAGCAATTCGCGAGCCATATTTCAACTTTCCAGCCAATGCGATCAGAGTTTGTAAAACGGTTGCACTCATATCCAGGCTAATCAGAGAGTTGAAGACCTATGGCAGGCCACACAAACAGAAGATTTCCTGGTTGATTGATAAGCTCCTTACTCGGCCAAGTTATTTTTGGGACTTCCTCTTGAACTCAGCCTATGATAAGCAACGGAACATCTGTACGTCTACTCGACCAGGACGTCGCGACAGAATTGGGTTATTCAAACAAAGTACGAAACCTGCGCAATCACACGACTTTTCATTAGTCTTCTCCCCCACTTGTTATTTCAGATACTCCAGGCAAACACCCAGTCATGCAATATTGTCGACAGCCCCCTTCGACTTGGTCCCTTGCCTTCAAATCCCACACTTTTCACTCAACCACCGCGCAAATTTCACAGAGTTCCTATCGACGAGCCTCCATTGCACGTCACCAAGCCAAATGCAGAACGTCATGGCAAGGCCGAAGCCGATACCCCATGATAGTCCCTGGCTGTGCCCAGCGGCGAGCAAGCTCAACTTCACACCCCAAGTCATGAAGCTGCTGCTCACAGTCCAGTGGACTAAGTACAGACCATAACTGATCTCCCCCAAGTACAATATCCATCGAGCATTCAGGCCACGTCGCGGGATAGACAGCCCTTCGAGTGAGGCTACCAGTCCAATGGCTGATATTGTCGCGAAGAAACGTGTTGGGTCGTACCCGCCAGTCGGCACCCACCGAAACCATGAATATCCCGCAGCGGCGTAACCGTCGCCTAGCATGGGCCAACCGCCCAAGAAAAGGGAAAGAAAAAAGATCAACCAGCAGATGAAAGCAGTGGTCCAGCGTGCCGGTCGCGATAGTTCCGGAAAATTGTTACGCACATGGCGAAAGTCGGCAAGCAGCATTCCTGCAAGGAACAAAGTATGTTGCCAGAATCCCAGACTGAATAGAAATGCAAGTAGCGTGGTAAGCAGTGGCAGGCGTACTCGAGGGGACGCCCGGGCGAAGGCCATGCAGCACAGAAACACAAGCAGAGAGCCTTGGTACTCAGCCGAAAGTGTCCACGCCTGGGGTAGTATGGTGTTGGTGGTGCTTTGCGTAACAATAATGACCATTGTGCGCCAGATGAACACCGCTTGCCCCCAAACACCGCCAGGGATTGGCGGAATGAGACCATTTCCGTTGTATAAGCCTTGAAGCTGAATCAATATCACCACCATAATTAGGACCGGAACGACGGGGAGAAAAAGTCGAATCGGTCGGCGGAATATGCTAGATGGTAGAGAGCCAATAGCTGCTTCACTCTGTCCATGATGCGACTTCTTCAGCGGCCCATACGTGAGGGCAAACCCGCTGATGACGAAAAAGACGGAGACGCTGAAGTACCCGCCATAGATGAGTCGGATGAATGGAAGTTGAATTGGGTGGCGATATTCTTCAGCTTCTCCCCAGCCGTGATACATGAAAGAGTACTACAAAAGATCTGATTAGTGACTGAGAGGTCTCAAGGCTCCATTTTGGAAAATGGTTCCAGGGCTTGTTCATTCACACAAATCTGGAATTCTGGGCAAAGGCCATGTGCGTCGGGTGCCACTCACATCATTGGTGTTGTGGTAGATAACAACAAATAGCGCCGCTAACCCGCGAAGCCCATTGAGATACGAGGTGTCGTTAGCCGGCGGAATTACTGAGGCTTCATCCTCATGGCCCAGAGCGCGTGCAAAGAACGACGGGAGTACCGCCCAGAATATTTGAAGCGCGTCCTTGGGTCGCCATCCAGAGCAATAGCGTTGTTTGTGGTGGCGTTGCTTGATCTCGTTTATTGGCAATTCAGTGGAGGAATTTGTCTCCCCATTTTCGAGCAAGATGTACGAGTCACCGGACTGGCTTGTTGAGAACCATCCACGAATGGTTTCTAGTGAAGTCTTGTACATCGTTCCGTCGGCAAGCCGAGGCGAAAAAGCTGTGAAAGGCTGATTGCTGTTTGATGGTACGAATTGTCGCCAGTTCTCTCTAGAAAGATTGTTCCCGTCAATGGCCCGCTGACAATCCTATTTGTCGCAAAGGTCGCTGCTCGCCGAGGCGATGTTGTCTGATGCAGCTACGCTACGGTTCCAAAAAAGGCGAAATGAATGGAGCAAGCCCGAGCCTGGGAAATCGTTCGGTCTCCCGCCGACCGTGCCGGTACTTATTATCATCTATGCATCGGTCCGAGGGGCGAAATCCATCGGACACTATGTAGTCCTCCCCATTTTACCAAACAATCTTTGGTCGCGGAGGCTAAGTCTTCGCGAATGTCTCAGCCGCTTTCGTTGGTTGCTATCGCCGAATTAGGCAAGGCTGGGAACGATGTCCACCGAAGACGGTAATAGAATGCTAACATGATGTCACTAATCCTATTTTCTTCGCAGATTATAGATCGGAAATGTCCGAAAACAGTAAGATCAATTCTTCGTGTATAATGCTCCTGCGTTGGGTGATCCGGTCTAAAGCGGGGGCATTCCAGCGCCGCTCATCGGCGGAAAACGGTCAGGAAACCATGAATTCTACACGGTTAAAGAGGATAACTTGCCCGTAGCTTTCAAAGAGCAATTTCGGGGACATTCCATGTGATTTCACTCGAAGTTGGCATTTGCTTTAACTAATACGCAATTGGACTTGCCAGCCCTTCATTTCAAACCGACTGGCATGTTGAAAATTTGAATTCGGGATGCGAGTGTGAGCTTTACATCCAGACACGCGATTAGGCTAAGACCCAAGGACCTGACTAAACGACTACCATCTTATCAGATCTTGGACCATGACAGGCAGCCCCGACTTCATCGAGTGATTTGCTCCAACACCGACAAGGACAGCGTTTCCACCGTCGCGGATGTAAGCAGCGCGCTTGAACTCGTCCCCTTGATTCCCGATCAGCACATCCTGCAGCAACACAGGGTCGCCTCCGCCATGGCCACCGTCGCGCTTCTCAACGGCCACCACGTAAGGCTCCTCAAACAAAGGATACACAACAATCTTGGTCTGCTCCACACCTCCTTGAATGTAGTTCTTCTCCAAATCTCCCAGGCCTTTCTCCGTCACAGGCTCCCCTCCTGCTGAATAGCCACTCTCAACTACATTAATCTCAATACGGCCTTTGCTACCGTTGAAAACGCAGCGATAACCCTCCCAAGGAGCGTAGGCGTATGTGTTGTATGTCATGACCGCGCGATTCTTGTACTTGATGATCATTGAGAGATTGTCCTCAATAGTGATGCCGTCCGCAAAGCAGTTGCGATCCCGGATGTATCCATCCTCATGTTCGGCCTCCAGGTAAAGCTTCTTCAGCTGTGCATTCTCGTCGATGTGAATGGCAAAGGGGTCATTCTTGGCTTTCTCATTGTTGAGGTATCGTTCCTCGAGGTTTGTAACACCTCGTCGCTGAGCATTCTCCTTGCCGTAGAAGCGCAGATCACCAATACAATAGACGAGTTCGGGCTCAGTGTTGAGCCAAAAGTGAACCAAGTCAAAATGGTGAATGGACTTGTGCATCTGAATGCCTCCGCTGGTTTCTTTGTTACGATGCCAACGTCGCATGAAATCCGATCCATGGGCACAATCCAGAATCCAATCCATGTGGACTGTGGCGATCTGTCCTATGACGCCCGACTGGATCAGCTCGCGGACCTTGGTGTGGTGTGGGGCGTAGCGATAGTTGAAAAGAACTCTGATTTGCTTCCCGGTCCTTTTCTCGGCATCAATCATGAGTTGGAGTTTGTCTTCGTCGATTGTCATCGGCTTTTCCGTGATTGCATCGCAGCCGAGCTCCATGGCCCTGATACAGTACACGTGATGGTAAAGGTCGATAGTAGTGACAATCACCACGTCCGGCTTCTGCTCAGTAATCATCTTGTCGAAATCTTCGGCTTTGTATGTAGGCAGCTTCTCACCGCCAAGCTCGATGATTCGGTCATTGGCAGCGTTGAGTCTGGTTTGATTTGTGTCGCACAGTCCAACGAGTGTCGCAACTTCGGCGAAGTCTTGAAGAATGCTTCCGTAGTAGAATGCCGAACGTACGCCCAAACCAACAATGGCGTAACGCTTGACCTGTCCTGGAGCCATGGTGAAGAGTGGATGGTAGGATGATAACTGACTAAGCGCGATTCGGGATGACAGAACGATGTGTTGATTAGGTTTTGGGATCTCAGACAGAGACCCGACACAAAAAGGCGTTCAATACATGTTTGCAAGACACCAGAACTACAGTAATCCCATGGTGATTTGATAATCGCCAACACACATGCCATTTTGGGATCGGCATTTCACGTGAATCTTTTAACTCACAGGTCTAGAAGTCGCCGGTCGGACAAATAATGCAGCAGCCATATTGGTTAGTTTCACAGTCAGCTTAACAATTTTGCAGATCTTTGCTCCATCATTGGCATATGGTCATCTTGAAGGCAATGTAAGAGCGGAAACTTCCGGATTGGGGTCGGAACGGTTTTCAGATGTGCCCAGAATAATGATTCCCCCTCATGCAGCCGCACCCGTCGGCGTAAGGGCATAACGCCGACTTGCGGGGTTTCGGAGGCGGGGTGGGCGCCCATGCATCACATCACAAGCCTCCGGTGGTCTTGGGTCAGTTGTTTCTTTCCCCTCCGATGTGCGCTTATAGCTGTTTGTGAACATGCACACCTTGCCTACAATTCACCGACATGCAGATCCAAAAATTTCAACTGTCGCCGCCCAGTCTCGAGGAGCTGGCGGAGAGGCTCAAATCTCCACTGGCGGCCAACTTTCACTTTTCGTCCGTCACAGTTGAAGTTTGCCCGGACCTTCGCCAAGCTCCATTCCACCTAGCTACGCGGGGCTTGTCTGGAGACGAAAGGGTTGCCGATATTGGCGGGCAGCCTAATCTTTTTCCTCGCCCGCAACTCGACAAATTTTGGGCCATGGATGAACTCGCCGTTGCAATGGACATGAACAATACCAGTGGCAGTGGCAGCTTGATCGGCGCCGGCGCTGGCCCGTTCCACGTCATTGGTCAGAATAGCGAGCTTGCTCCCAATCTCAGCTGGGAAGATGGCTTACAAACAATCAACAACCAGACCCGAATCATCAAAATCATGAAGACCACCGGCGACATCGGCGTTGAAAAGAGTTCTTCTTTGGACTGTGGCTTGATGGCAAACCTTTTCGGCTGCTCGGGTGAATCTGGGCCTGTTCTCAGGGTCGTCGCCCGAGGACGCAAGGGTGTCGAGAGGAGCTTCACCGAATGCATTCGCAAGGCACTGCACTCTGCATATGGCGATGATCATGCCGTGAGTCTGGGGGGAGCGTTCGTGGTCAAGTCTGGGAAGGCGGTTTATCACATCATGCCCGACTTCCCCCCAAAACGCGATCTTCCTTTCAGAGACCGTGGCCAAGTCGATGCGTGGCTCACTTGGCATGAATTCCAGGCTCCAATGGTGTGCTTGTCAGTTCTTCACTCTGCAGATCCCGGCAAACTGGGTCTCCGGATGGAGCATACACATTGTTTCTCGGTGGAAGGAAATGCTGGAGGTCACTATCATTACGAAACGGATCACTCCACAGAGGATGTTGAATATGAGGGCTATTTCAACACAGCAAAGGTCATCTACAGGATAGACAATCCGACGGCCGCTTGATCATCGTACCTATCTTCGGTCTAGAAGCGGGCGGCTCGGTAGCTAAGAATCGGAAATATACCCCTGCGTTGTAGGAGATTTTAGATGAACTGACAGTTTTAAGCTTCAGCCCTCGGTTCCCACATGCTGGTCAGAAGCTACCCTGCCCAGCTTATGACATTAACTAAACATTTTGACCTATATTTTTAAATGTCTAAGCTATTGCTAAAGTTATATATGTGTTTGTCCTATGTCGTCGACAAGAGTAACTCGTCTAGGAGTCGCCAGCCTGAGGGAGGATGGAAGGGAGTCAACATCATTACACATCAACGCATTGAACCCCTTGGAAAATGCAAATCACATTTCAAGCTACGATCCAGGGTACTAGCATTCTCCCAGCAACGGACCACGCCCGACTTGGATGCAACATTGATTAACATTTGTTGATTAAGTCGTCAAGGGTTGGGCCGTACTAGCCGATCTCCTTGTAGGACCCCGCGCTGTTTGCTGGTCACGGGATGTGGGAACAGCGCGCGGTGACGCCGCTAGGGAAAAAAAACAGCACAGAGAGCATAGCTGGAGGCTCGTGGTGAAGCAGCTGACTCGTTACTAAGCTTCAATTAAGTCATTGTCCGCTTCATTTTGTTGTGCCTCCTTTTAGGCCCACTCTCGGGTCGGAATGTGGGGGACAAGCTCCCGAGTAGGAAATAAAGCCTTTGATCCCGCGCGGTTCCAAGAAAAGCTTCTCAACGGTAAGCTATTAGAAGTTGAATGTTGGATGATCCTAGGCCTCAAGTTGGAGCTTCTCTTAGAAGTGGATCGTTACTTCTCGGACATCCCACTATGCAGTGGGCTGATGGACTTAAACACAAGAGTGCTGGTAAGGCCGATTCAGGAGACGACACAAAAAACTAGATTTTAGAAGAATAACATAAATGTCATTTGAGACCCAACTCTCAAAGCCTTTCAGTCCCGCATTCCTCAAGACCTCGTACACAAATTGCAACTGTTGCGGCTGTTTCCTACCTGTCATTCATTCACTGATATCCAAAGCAAGGCGAGCCATGCCTTCCACTCTTTCACTGTTGGCAGCCAGTCTGGCGGCTGCAGCCTCAGTTGTCTCGGCATTCCCTTTTCACTTCAAGGAAACCGACAACTGTTCAGGAGTCAATGGTACTTTCTCCATTGATAACTACAAGCTCTACCCAGAGAACCTCGACTGGGATCCCGTTCACTGTAAGCTTTATATCAGGTACTAAATCCGTTGCATAGTCCCATGCCTAGAGATTCTGTGCTCACATTGTTCACCGCAGCGCCAACTTCAATTCCACTGTCCTCCTCTATGATCCTTACTCAGCAACATACGACATTCTCACATTCGATGGAATCACCGGTGTTGATCCGTATCATGTCTCCGGTATCGACTACGATGCGACTACTGAGTCGATTTTGATCTCTGCCAACAGCGGCAACCCGTTTGTAACCTCCGGAAAAAATATGACCGGAGCTAACAAGGTTATCCGCTGGGATACCAACACAAACTCCGCCGCCTACATAGCCGACCTGGCTGATTTTACAGCTGAGCTGGTCATCAACAACATGACTGGCGGCGGATACCAGGACTTTGCTGAGGACAAAGAAGGCAACACCTATGTTCCTGTCGTCTTTCATGTCCCTGCTATTGCCAAGATCACCAAGTCGGGAGAGGTGTCATCCTGGTACATTGGTGAAGCAAGCACTTCAAGCAAGTACATCTATCTCGGCATCGTCTTCCATGAGAGCACCAACAAGCTACTCATCACGGCGCCTTACCTTGGTACCTTTGTCTCCTTCGACGTTTCTTCGTCTTCTCCAGCCCCTACCAACATTACCATGAACTGGCCGGCAGACGGGTCGTACACCGCCAGCGATTTAGAGTGCGATGGTCTTCTCAACCCCGCAAGGTACAACCGTGACGTTCTCCTCTGCTCTGAGAACGGGCTGCAGGCCATCACTCTCTGGGCTTCAAAGGATGGCTTCGCCACCGTTGATTACATCGGGCAGGTTGCGGATAATTCCACTGCCGACATCGCAACGTGGGCGTCGCCCACTGCTACGGTGCAGATCGGTAACAGCATCTACATTTCGCATGAGTACTTCCATGATCTCAACGAGTTCGATGTGGCTGGCAACCGGTCAACCTTTCCCTTCGTGGATGCCACGGCAGATTTCGACAAGCTCGTTGTCGCGGCCGGGTACACCATTACCGACGCTTGAAAGTTTTGAGTGAATCAGACTGAAAGGAATGAAATGGATTATAGATATTTGAGCAATCATGAAAAGACGCCGTTGAATCCATTGCTGCTGTAACCTTGTCTTTCAACCTGGGAAAGCACCACGATGCCTGCCAGAATACGAATGACCCTCGGGCAACGATCCATCGTCCTCTTCGGCCTTCTTCCTGTTTGCCGATTCGGCCGATCACCCCCGCATTTTCCCCGTGCGGGGTCGCAGCTGTGCGTGTCGTGGCAGTGTGGAGCATTATTGATCTGGCGGAGGGCTTCCTGATCCGGGTCGCGTCTGACGAAGAAACTCTTCCCAATTAAACTTGGACGCACTGTCGCTTGTTCCCAATTTGGTGGGTTCCCGAATAACTCATCTCATCGAACACCTTCTGCGACCCTTGGACGTCTTTGCGGCTCCTCAGCTCCTCACAGTCCTCGGGGTGGGGCCTCGGCTACCAAACAACCGAAAGTGTGGGACGTTGAATACCACTTGTCATGGAGATTGTGTGGCAAGCCTCAAACGGCACTGCCAGGAAGCGCACTTCCCAAGATGAGTGATGCTTACATACCGTAGGCGTTTTCTAACTGCTAACATTTATCCTGCTGTCACCGTGTCAAACATGTCGCACTCGGAAAAAAAGGTGCTATCACACCGAATCACTACATGCCACAGACGCAAAGATTCGTCCTACCGCAGCTACGCAAGAGGACACTTTGCCATCCTCGTCCACTACTCGCGAGTCGAGTTCGAGTCCGAGCAAAGTCAGCCTATACAATCCCGAGTCCGTTCTGGAAGATCTATCCGAAAATCCAAACTCAACTTCGTCTCCCCAGCAGTTCTACGCGTGTCTAAGACACTCGCAGTCCCGTCAAGAAACTGCCTCATATGCTGAAACCGACCCAGAAACAGCAGAGAGAACCAGAAGACAAATCTTCTGGTATCGCAGACAAAGACGTAAAGCATCTCCTCCCGAGCTGTCAGAGCACCATCGACGATATCTGGAGGATGTAGGTGCGCTCCTCGTGCTACCAAAATCAACAACCGACGCCTTGCTACCAATCTATACAACGCTATTGAACGACCTGATTCCCATACTTGACGGCAATAGTGTACTTCGACAACATAGCAACGGACAAGCTTCAAGGTACTTGATCAGGGGCATTTGTCTCGTCGCATGCAAGAGCAAACAAGCAGCGCCCTTTCTGCAAGTAGTCGAGGACGGCGAGGTTTTGAACTCGTTAGACTTCGCTTCCAAACTGCTCACAGGTCTGGACGCTGCCATGAAAGCAAATCTTGAGCCAGACCGGGTCACAAAGATTCAAATTCTGGCTTTGATGCATTTACACAATGATGGAATAGGTGGCGTAGACCGGTCTTCGAGCTATTTGTCGCAAGCCATATGCGAGGCATGGTCTATATCGCTCCATCTCAATGTTCCAAGAAGCCCAGATCGTAGACAGGGCGACTTTCTTTGGTGGGCACTCAGGAACTTTGACCGATTGAACAAGCCAATCATGGGGGCAGCACCTTTCATGATTGATGATACCGACATCGCGCTTGAGCGCATTGCCTTGACGGAGGGAGACTACAGGTCGCAGCTAATGTCAGTCTCACTAGCGCTCGGGGATCTCATGATCACCGCCACTAGGGTCTACAAAGCAAGCTCCAAAGCTACTGTAGATGACTGCGGTGAATTCCCATCACTCTCGAAGCTCACGTCAAACACATCTTTTGACGGTTTCCACAGGTCACATGCAGGTGCGTGATCCGTCTGCGTCGCAATGGGCATTTTCTGACGTAACAGCCTACCTCGAGATCTGGTATCACGTTGCTGCTATGCTGTCCTGTCGATACAGTGGCCCAGGCAGTCCTCAATACAATCGCCGTCTTGCGTCGGCCGGAGGGGTGCTCGGCATCATATCCAAAGAAGGCTCTGAACGGCTCCCACCCTTACCTCTGGTCCCATACGCTGTGTCAATGGCCACAACAGTTGTTTACCGCGCATTGAGAGATAACCAAAGAGATACTGTGACTACCTGTGCGGACCTCGGCCTTTGCTGCAAGGCACTGGACGTTCTATCAGAAAGATGGACTACTGTCAAAGGTGTAGCAAGACTGGCCAAGCGCTTATTGCAATTCATCCAGCGAAGCGTTTACGATGAGCAACCCCAATGCACATGCCTAGGCCATGCCTCGGGTTCATTGGTGCCTACTTCTAAAGGAAGACCCTGTCACTCAGCGCTTGAAACTGAAATTGTACCTGTCAGTCCTAACACTTTGGTCAGAAATGTCCCTGACCAATTATCCGGAGGGCGATCTGAGGATACGGAGCGGGATGCCTTGCGCGAAGTGCAGTTGCCGACTCCAGCTGGAGACCTTTGGGATCAGGGCGATGTGTCATACCTTCAACTGGACCGGGCGTTTTATGACATGTTCGATGATGGAATGCCTGATATTTTTCGCGACTCTACAACCTGGGATTTTATGCATGCACCTGAGGGGTACTATGATCATCCATCAATTGAGTAGTCAGGCTTAGAGACAGGACCGCAGCTCATTTAAACCTTTCTCTCGTCACTACTGGGTTACACACTTGCTATCATGTCCCTGAAATGGCACAGGGATGTATTCACTGCCCTATGTCAAATGGCATATGACTTCGATAGCCCCCATGTTCCCAGAAACGCCTCTGGGCCTGCGCTGTTATCTACTGCAAATATCCAATCAAGATCAATGCCCAATTCAGCTCCCATTGCGTCCGCATTTGCTTGAGCCTGAGGTGAATGATGCTGCTGCCGCTTGCTCGGTTGGATGTTTGATGCAGGGGAATAATCACGAGGTGGGGAATTAGACTCCGAGTCTTTTCTTAGTCTCTTTCTGGGAGTTGATGCCGTCGCTGAAGACTGCCGGCGCAGACGATTTGACCGGGCTCTAATTTCCCATTGCCTTTGAAGCATTATGAGGAAGTCATGAGCCCTTTTGGCATTCTCCCATGAAGATGAGAACTCATCCAAGGCTCTGAAGCAAGCACTCAGCTGGACTCCCATGTCATCACACCCAGGTAGTCGAATGTGAGAAACAGTCGCGAATATCAATAGCAGTGCCGCGGAGCAGGTGATTGTTACTCCCTGTATGTTCATACGCTTCAGAGTATACATCTCTTCATATAGTTGAAGGATCTTGGCAATCGCCACAGCAGAGTCGACACATGCTTTGCGGGCGTGGATGTGACCCGGACCTTGAGGTGGTTGGGGTTGGATGTAATGCTTTGACATCCAAGGCCGATGAGCATGTATTATTGCTTGATAATAGTGCATACTATACTCATCAGCATACCATCCGCAGTTATCTAGATACGTTTTCTATTCGTTGAAACTTACTGCAGCAGCAATACGTGAGGCAAGTATGGCGTTTTCGTGTTCTTCTCGTCAGTTTGAACCTGAAGTTCTGAAGGCAAGCAGTCTTTCCACTCCTTAAGCTCCTTCACTGTCTTCTGATTCATCTCTTGTAGCACACTTGGTGGAATTCTTTGGCTTCCATATCTACAGCGCATTAGCCAACTCAGTGGAGTTCATGACGCGACCAATACATTACTGACAAAGCATGACCGAGAGGCGCCATGATGTCGCATAGTAGTGCCCGTTGAGAGCAAAGCAGCTCAGCATAGTCTGGCTGGGTCACGCCGTGGGACCCAGGGGAGACGTAGGCAGACCAGTGCCCTGATACATCAGTGCTACTGCCTGTACCGGGCTTGGCGACAGTGACATCTTCCATGTTAATTCGGAACGGGCGACCTAAATGCAATCCCCAAAGGCTATCAATTGGTCAGCTCAATCTCGACGTCGAAAAACGAAACAAAAGACAGATGCTTACTGGTCAATGGTGTACGCCCCCCAAAATACAGTTTTGCGCAGGTCTGCTTCCTCTTGACTGATGGATCCTATTTTAACATATGGTGTCATGTCAACATGCAGTGCCAGATCGAATGCAAGCCTCATGGCCATTCCTACCATTATTGTAAGCTCAGAATATCATGCGGTGTGTAGACACATAACAATACCGCTATAAAGCCATCCTCGAGCATCCCGCTTGCACCCAATGTCATGGCCACTCAGAATAACCATAGCTTGAACTGTAGCCACCGAAGGGCAGTCAAGCTCAATATCCAGGAGAGCTTTAGCTCTGTCGGCGAAGAAGTCTGCTAAAGACTTCGGAAATGTGACGAATGTTGGGTGGTGACGTGATTCAAACGCAGCCCCTAGGGCGCAACTGGGAAGGTATCAGCGCCGACTTGAAAAGCGCGGTTAAAGAATACAACATAAAGCGTCCGGAAAGACAAACTCACATCGCGTTTCTCAAAGCTTCTGAATAGTATGGGTTATCAACCATGCGATCACGCCACTGCACCTTGGCCTTTTCGTACAAATCCCGCTTCACGACATGTGAGGCAGGATCTTGCCACGTGAAGTAAAGATTCACCAAGTGCTCCTCGATGTCGTTCGGTACTTCCTTTCCTATATCCAGACGATCTAGAATTTCCTGTCCATCGTTTCTCACCGTTCGATGGACGGTCATGTTGTCTGGGGCAGGCATCTGTACCAAATTGAAATTCGATGTAGGGCCGTAGTACCGTATTTGACCGTCCGATCCGATTTGCAGAGACCCTACACGCTCTGACAAACGATCTACCAGCTCCTCTGTGCTTTCAGCGTCGCTATCGTCGCCACTGATAGTTGTTGGAAACGAAAGTGACGGACCGAGTGCATGGCCGGATTTCTCTGGGACTAAGTGGACGTCATTTGATACAGGTATTCCTTCAACTGTCACATTCGTTGTTACTCCGGGATGAGATATGTCGACAAGATCGTCTGAGCTGTGCCAGTCCCAGTCGATCTCGAGGCTGTCTGTCTGTCCATTCGATGCAATCTTTCGGCATTCCCTCCAATCTAGTGGCAAGTTTGAGATTAAGCTTTGAACCTGGTCAGACGATGGAGTATCGAACGTTGAAATGTCTTGACTGATGCTCGTCGTACGGATACACTGCTGGTCCGTGTCTTGCAGTCGTGCTGCCGGGCTAGAATCGCACTCTGGGGCAAGATCTGTGGAGTTTGGCTCGTCCGGGTCCGTACTAAGACGCCTTACATGGTCTTCTCTCGGGTAGGCATGAATCAGACCGACGTTCTTCAACACTCGTAGTAGAACGGTCTCGTCGTCTTCTTGCATGGGCGGGGGCCGCAAATTATTTTGCTGGATAAAGTGGCTCATTTGGTCGACTCTGGCGCAGAGGAGTTCGATCGCTACTCGTAGAGACAATCTATATTGAAATTTCTCACGGTCAGAAATCCTGCTTTACTTCATTCATGGTTGACGTACTTCCGTTTGTCCTCATTCGCCTGGAACTGGCAATTCTTGCCTTTCCGCTTGCAGTTGGAACAACATGGGGTCTGGCCATCACACTAAGCTTCGTCAATTGATTGTATATGCTTGGAAGGGGCTTCCGGTGTGGAAAGATCCCCAGGGATGGGAACTGGCCGTCGGTTCCGGCGCGTACCTTTACTTTCGCGGCATGGCACACAGGCTGTGGTGACATGCTTCCTCTTGTTTGCCGATTGCGTTGCTGAGGCCATATTGGTGATTTATCTCTTTCAATTTCTCGCTTTCGTTCATCTGATGAGTGCAATAAACTGTGTGCAGAATGTCTACTATGGAGGAGTAGGACTCGAAAGGCTCAGCGTTGTGTTTCCCCGCGCTTGACATGGATTCAGCGCTCGGAATTCAACCCCCGTTGAGTCTTGACCCACGCACTAGGGGTCACCCCACACTTCTCTCCAACCACCCCGATCCCCGCACTTCGACGTGGAGAAGTTGGGGATAATGGCTTTTTGTTATTTGCGTATTCTTTCAGACTGAGTTATTGGTCAGTGGTCAAAAAGTTGCCTGTTCGTATAGCCACCGGAGGACTGTTTGCCTGGATCAGACGTCTACAAAGTCATCCTCCGTGGTGAACACGCTTTCTAAATTCGTTGCACGCGGTCCTTCTAAACTCTGAGCCTAATCAGGAGTACATAGGAGCTGTGATTGAGCAGCAGAACCTTCCCTGGCTTGATGGATAGTTCGGAGTTATTCAACAAGATCTGTGTAGTAGGGAGCAATGAGTAGCAATCTAGCAATTGCATAGATACCTAGGTTTGATTTCATGTGTACTGTCTACTTTGAGTAGCTATTTACTCACAATGTCCTCGCATCTTGATTCCCAATCGTAATGCTCTTGATGTTTTGATACTCTTCCAATCCGTATAGGCTACCTTCTCGACCGTATCCGCTCTCTTTCACGCCCCCAAATGGCGCCTCCGGGGCACTAATCTTACCAGTGTTCACTCCCACCATTCCCACCTGCAATTTCTGAGCGACACGCATGGCTCGACTGATATCGCGCGAGAAGAAATAGCCAGCGAGGCCGAATTCGGTGTCGTTCGCTAGGCGCAGCACATCTTGTTCCGTTTCGAACTCAAAAACGGATGCAAGTGGCCCAAACGTCTCGTCTTTGCTCACTATCATGTCTTGGGTAACTCCCGAGAGTACTGTGGGTTGGAAGAAGAAACCTGGAGACTGCAAAGGCTGTCCTCCTGCTTCGACTTTGGCTCCTTTGGAGATTGCGTCGTGGATGTGCTCTTTGACCTTCTCAATGGCAGCTTGATTGACCAGCGGGCCTTGTGTGGTCAAGGGATCCAATCCTTCGCCGACTTTCAAATCAGAGACCTTCTTCAACAGCCTTGAAGTAAAATCCTTCGCTACACTCTTTTGGACGTAAAGTCTATTCGCACTGATGATATGGGTCAGAACCAATCTCGATCGAATCAATCCATAACTATGGATAAGAACAAGAAAAGAACGGCCCGACTTACCACACACAGGTTTGGCCGGAACAGCGAAATTTGCAGAACATTGCGCCTTCCACTGCCAGGTCAAGATCGGCATCATCAAACACAATGAATGGAGCGTTGCCGCCAAGCTCAAGGCTGACTTTCTTAAGGGTGCCGGAAGCCAGTTTCGCCAGCATTTTGCCAACACCGGTTGACCCTGTGAAACTAATCTTTCGAACCAAGGGATTCGTAGCAAGCTCTGTTGCTGCTTGGCGGTTCTTGGTAGGGCAAACTTGGATCAACTCGGAGGGAATACCTGCCTCGAGCGCTAGCCTTGTCAAAGCCAGACATGTGTATGGCGTCTCGCTTGGGGGCTTGATAACGACAGAGCAACCAGCGGCAATAGCCGGTCCTACCTTCCGGGTGATCATCGCCGCTGGGAAGTTCCATGGGGTGATTATCCCACAAACTCCCACCGGCTCTCGGATAGTGAGGAGCGTAGTATGAGGAGTAGATGAAGGAATAGTCACACCATACGCTCTTGTAGCTTCTTCCGCAAACCAAGATATAAAGTTCGCTGCATACACGACTTCTCCATTGGCTTCGCCGATTGTTTTACCGTTTTCGAGACTGAGAATTGCCGCCACTGCAGTTTCCATTAGCATTCAGTAATTGGTGGTAACGACAATTGTGTCTAGACTGGTATACTTACGATCCTCTTGGTTGGCAAGAATGAGGTCATACCATCTTCGCAAGAGCGCTCCTCTCGAAGTGCCCGTCGTCCCTTCGAAGAAAGCTGCTTGCGCTTGATGAGCACTTTCAATCGCGTTCCGGAAGTCCTCCAGGTCACAATCGGCTACCTGTCCAAGCTTCGTGCCCGATGCCGGCTCTTGACTTGGGTCAGTTCCCATTCCTGGAGGTCTTCACAGGGCACATACCAAAGACGTCGAATTTCGCAGTTTTCGAAACCCACTTTCCCCCAATGAATGCATCTGAGATGAAGAGTTCATTGTTGTTGAGCTGAATGTTGACACGCATTTCAGTGGACATCCTTCTGTTTTTTGAATTGGCACGTTCACATACCTTTGCTAAAGCGTTGCGGTGGTAAGTAGCATTGGTGTCCTGACTTTTGGCGGTAGAGTGCATATTGAAGTTTGGAAAATTGACCGGAGTATAGAGACAAGGATAATAATACGAGTACAGAGATCGATAATCAGCAGTTCATATACGCTCATGATCAACATCAAGTTGCGCAAGTGTCCGTCTATCAACCTGGACCTTATGGATCTTATTTCTATGCCGAGCGGGATTGATACGTTTGGTATTGTCTCCACGCATTGGACATAATGAATATCTTTTTGCCGGTGGTATGCAATTCCGTCAGCACGTTATTTTCTGGATACGGAATTGCTAGTGTCGCTCCCCCCGCGATCTCCAACTTTGCCAAGACAAGATTGTTCCTTTGAGTTGCGGCCGGGAAAGGCACCCGACCCCGCATCCGTGTACACTGACGCAACAAAAAAGCCCTTCGGAGCATAATTCCGATCACAGCCACATTCCTGGAGTATCGACCAACATGTGCGGCTGTTCCAGAACGAGTTGCTGCTACTTTCGTCCTCGGTAGAATAGAATGCACAACCAAACCTCGTTTTGGCAACCAAAAAACTAAAGACGTGGCTCCCGCGTGTTCCTGTTGAAGGAATTGTTCTTCGATTTGGCCAACCGATCTCCTTTAGTGAGATGGTTTGGTTGGGTGCCGATGGTCAGACACTGGGAAGGAGAGTATCACGCGATAGCAGTGGCAATTTAGCGTAATCGTCTCGTGATACAAGACATTTTTCAACAACGTTGGCAACCTATTGATCTAATTCTGCATCGTTTTTGCCTTCCTTAGACCTTCTTCAGTCTTAGTTTGATAACCATTGTGCCAACTTCGAAACATTCGAGATTCCTACGTGCAGGGCTCTCTCCAAGTATCCCACGATGGCAACACCTTCGACCAGCCCACGGTAGCGGCTGATAGCTGCTGCGAGACTCACCAGCGCAAAGATCGTCGAAATGGGTGACATTGTGCTCAACCAGCGACGAACAGTAAGTAACGGCCATAGGCTACTTCCCCCACTCATGTTGAATGCAGACCAGTCGGGGAAATAAGTCTTGAACCAGAATGATCTTGCCAAGCCAGGCCATGACGCCGCGTTCCTGCCGTAGTCTCCGATGTACCAGTTGGAGCAATCCCCAGAAAAGACTGTATCACGCAGAGATTTGTGGATTGCGTTAGTCTCTCTATCCTCTGCGGATTGCTTGACCTCAATGACGGCAGCCTTGTGATCAATGAGTGGTGTGAACAGCGATTTGACGGCGTAGTCAACTTGAGTCTCGCAAGCGAACAGGGCTGAATTGTTCGCAGGGAACGTATTCGGGCCAAACAAAATGGCGAGGTTGGGAAAGTTGTGCACGTGTGTCCCAAGATAAGCTTGAGCACCGCGGCACTGTCTCCATTGGTCATGTAAGGAGATGCCAGTCGAGCCGACAATGTGCATCGGCGTCAAGAATTGGGAAACCTGGAAGCCTGTTGCCAACACAATGATGTCGAAGTCGTCTTCTATTGCAGAAGAGCTGATTATTCCGGTCTCGGTGATCTCTTTGATGCCCTCGGGAAGAAGCTCAACGTTTGAGAGATTGAGACTTTCGAGGTAGCCGGGGTCGAAAATGCGACGCTTGCAACCGAGAGGAAAGTCGGGGATAATGTGATCCCAGTATTTCTTTGGCGCGATCGACTTGATGTACTTCTTCGATTCTGACTCAGTCTCTGCGCGAGCCTTCAGTCCCTTAGGAGTTGGGAAATATGTCGTGGTCTCCTCGTCGGCATCGAGAAAGATCTGTAGCCTCAGCCAACGCATCAACAAAGGCATCCATCGAAACATGAACTTTTCCGTCTCCGAATATTGCTTGTTCGGGCGGGCATGGAACCACTGCCCGCTTCTGGCATATTGCTTAACGAGAGCTGCATGTTTTGCTACAGCCGGCACCACTTGCGCAGCACTGCAGCCATTGCCGATAATCGCGATTCTTTTGTTCTTGTAATCGACTCCATGATCCCATCGCGCTGTGTGGAACATATGTCCCTTGAACTTTTCCATCCCAGGAAATTTCACATCTCGAGGAAAAGAGATTGCGCCCACAGCGGAGACGAGAACCGAGGCATATCGAGAATACTGAATGCCCGTCTTGAGATCCTTCAGATTAACCTCCCACTTCGAGATATCGGTGTGCCATTTTGCTCCCATGCACTCAATTGAGGTGTGAACGTGCTTGTGCAGATCAAACTTCGAACAGGTATCTTCCATGTCTACATCACGTTAGTCGGTCATTACTTACCGATCGGTCGAGGCAGTCTTACATTGAAGAATTTCGGGTTGTTCGCAAAGCTCCTTGGACCAGTTCGGATTCAGGTTGAAGCTGAAAGAGTAGAGGTGAGACTTCAGGTCACAGCCGCTGTACACATTCGTTAGGGTCTTCCACGGTGCATCAGGTCCATGAACGCTTACCATCCCGGGTACGTGTTCGTTCTCCAAGTTCCACCGACCCCATCAAGCTTTTCGTAAATTGTGAAGTCGTCAAAATGCAATTCATGCTTTAGCTTATAAGCCATGGCAATGCCAGCAGGGCCGGCACCAATGATGATGGCGTTGAGTTCCTTCGCGTATTGTGACATCGTATAGGGCGGTTGGGCAAGCGACGCGTAGCTATTAGGTCGAACGAATTATGGCAAAGATTGGGCGAGAACAAAAGGCAGCCCGGTTGGCAGTAAACAAGACGAGATGTCAGATGGTAGGTTTCTGTCGCTTCTTTTAGGCATATTGCTCGCCATAGGAACATGGATCTGATGTCATACCCTCCGAAATTGGCTGTCAGATCACTGCGTCGCCATTTTGGGAATCGGAATTCGAAATTTTGTTGAAGGCAGCGTCTATCGTCTGGAAGTCCATGGCAGTCTTTGATCTTGACCAGAAGGGGTACTACGGACAACGGTACGTTCAGGTTCCGTTACACGTCTACAATTTCTGGGGGTTCGGGATTCTCCTTCCGACAGCGGTGCCTCCAGAAAGTCCAACCGACAGTTCTTGTTTGGCAGGCCCCGCAACGCACGCGAGCCGGGCTCCGAGACTTTTGTCATTCGCTTGGGGTGATCTCGGAAAAGCTGATGCTGTTGAGCCGCAACAGAGTAGCAGGCCGACAAATCGCGTACCGTTATCGGGCTTCTGGTGTCATTTCAGATGAATCTCTTAATTCGCTCTTCGTCATCTCATAATTTGTACTTAGGTGCTTGAATTGGGTTACTGTCTCAACAACTAAGAATGATGATGCTGATTTATCGGTAGTTTTTCACTGTGCACTCAATGCGTTAGACTATGTCTTCCCTGCCGTGGAGGATGAGGTTTCGTCTCGAAATATGTAATTGCGATCTTCTTTGCAGAACTGGATTCGTTCCATTTTGATGGTTCATGTGCCATTGAAATTTTCTCTGTCTCTAATTAACGAGGCTTAGTCGCTGCTTCATGCATTCTTTGAAAACGGTACAAGTTCAACTACTTTTGTCTACTTTAAATTTGCCTCCAACCGGTCATTCTCGCATTTTCGTCTCCGAGGTCTTCTAGGTATCTTCGCACGCGCTTCACAATGCCCTTGGCATCAAGTTGGAAGCGATCATAGTTGCTGGCGTTAGAAGCGGAGTAACCGTAAGAAACCATGCTGATGCTTGCTGTGACGTATCTTGCCCAGGTCGTTGCAACATATTCCTCGACACTCACGATTGGAGTACCGTCCGTAGGGAAAACTCTACGGCGATATTGCTCACTTTGTACATCGAAGTGACTGAAGCTGGGACAACTGACAACACGCGTTGGTACGCCGGACGCAGATAACGTCTTCGCGGCTTCGACAGCATAGTGGAGATTTGTACCGCAGCTGGCCAGGGTGAGCTTAGCTCCAGCCATCTCTTCAACGACATATGCTCCTTTCGCAACCTGAAATCGATCAGTCGACGGCACTGCGCCAGTCGGATCTCTTCCGAGTGACAGCATCGTGGGGCCCTTGCGATTGTTCAATGCCAGCATCCAAGACCCGATCGTTTCCTCCGCGTCGCAAGGCCTGATATACGCAAGATTGGGCATCGCGCGGTACAGGGAATCGATCTCAACAGGTTGATGGGTTGGGCCGTTTTGTCCCTCGGCGAAAGAGTCATGTGTGGCGATGTGGATGACCGGCAAATGGCTCAAGGCCCCCATGCGCACACCAGGCGCAGCCTGACGATGTTTTGTCAGCTCAAAGCCAGGCAGGACAAATTACGAAGGGGCACTTCGGAGCTTACATAGAGGTAGAACATAAAGAATGTTGCAGTAATTGGCAAAAGCGTGCCAGGCCCATATGCAGCCAATCCGTTAGAAATTGCTGCCATTGCATGCTCACGTATTCCGTATCGAATGTAACGCCCTGCATAGCTGACAGATGGGTGGCATACGTCGGACTCGAGGTAAGGGACCTTGTTGGAATTGACGAGATCGGCACCACCTCCAAACAAAGTCGGGCAGGTTTTCCAGAGCTTTTCCAGAAGAGCACCGTTGACCTCACGAGTTGCTAGCCCCTTGAACTGGCTTGCTTCGATTGCACTAAGCATCTCAAGTGCTTCGGTTCCACGGTCGCCATTTCTGGCTTTCTGGAATTCCAACGACTTCTCCGGGTACGCCGATGCATATTTCTGCAGCATGCTGTTCCACTCTGATTCCAGCTCTTGTCCGCGTGCCTTTCGCTCACGAAAGTATTCCAGAGACGACTGGGTGACTTGATGCGTAACTGTTGGGTCTTGTCCAGCTAACCGCTTCGATAAGGCCACGCTTTCGGCATCAAATGCACCATGATGAGCCTTGAAAGTACCAGCGACATTCGTTCCCAGGCCAATAACAGTCCGTATGTTGATGAAGATGGGCTTGCCTTTCAACGACTTTGCGAATCCGAGCGCTGAGACCACCGCGCTAACATCATGGTTGCCGTCGGCGATCTCTAAAACATGCCACCCCGAAGCGCGCATCTTTGCATTGACATCCTCGGTGTTGATCCAGTCGAGCGGTCCGTCGCAGGTTACTTGGTTATTGTCATAAATCAGTACCAAGTTATCGAGCTGCAAACTTCCGGCGAGAGAAATGGCCTCGAGGGCAACACCCTCCATAAGGCAACCGTCACCGGTCATGCAGTATATCCTTGACTGCACAACATCGAGTCCTGGTTGGTTGTAGCGCGACGCGAGATGTTTGGACGCGATGGCGAGGCCGACAGCATTGGCGATACCTTGGCCTAAGGGGCCTGTCGTGACTTCCACCCCGGGAACTTCAATTTCAGGGTGCGCGTGACAAATTGTCTTGTAACCGTCTGTTTTGGCGCTTCCGTACCCTTTGATCTCATCCATGGAAAAGTCGTCGTATCCAACCAAGTGATTCAGTGCGTAAAGAAACATGGCGGTGTGGCCTTGACCATTTTGTCAGCTTCAGTGCAGTCATGAACGCCAGATACTTCCAATGTCTTACCGTTGGAGAGCACAAATCGGTCTCTGTCAAACCAGCTGGGGTTGTTGGGATTGTAGCGCATGACATGCTTGTACAAGGCTACCCCTATGGCGGCCATACCAATCGCTGATCCCCCGTGGCCACCTCCATTCTGATTGCAGATATCGAAGATGAGGTTCCGTAGAGCAAGCACAGCAAGGTCGTCGTCGTTCAAAGTCTCTCTCCAGCCCTTCAACCGGCTATTGACGTATCCGTTTGGCGCAGATGGCGGTGGCACAAAGCTTGGTTTGTTTCCGTTGGGTGATGGAATTTGTCCCGAGGGGACATTCTCGCTGTGAGATCTGCACTGGTTCGTTGATGGAGACATGTCTGGGCGGGTTGTACGTCGTTACACGATATCTGCTTGGATCGAGATGAGACGGCTTGGCGGTGAGATCTATTCCTCGTTCATTCAGTGGCAAGTCATCGAGACGCAAGGCTACGCATGCAATAAAAGTATTGTCTTCCAGGCTTTATTTGAGTTATCTTCTCCTTAAACCACAAATTGTCACTAAGGTGCTTCCCAGTTGTCGGGTTGTCATGACCGCTAGTTTTCGACCGGCGCCCGGCTTGTGTGGGGTGCTCGGACATCAAATCCGTAGCTGTGGGCATCGGGACTAGGCGTCCGGCCACGATACTGAAATCGGACCAGTAGCTATTCCTCGCCCATATGATCGCATTGTCATTTGATGACAATTTCCGGTCATTGAACTGCTCAATAATGCCGATGAAATTGATCACATGTCTCGTGGAAACGAATGCGGGATTCGGGTCCGGAGAGTTGCATGTCAGCCCAACCTTCGATCATATGGTCTTGTACTCCTAAACTATTCCATCCGTCTTGATTGAAGTGGAACCTTCATCCGTTTGTTCTCTTCTACATACTTTTCGCATTCTTCTTGGTTCAGAAGCCAACATCGACTTCGACCCGTTGTCTCGACCTCGCAGCCAATTTGTATCGCATCTCTCCCGATACGAAAACATGGCATCCAGCATCGTTAATGCTCCTCAGCCAAAGGCTGATGTCAACCGTTACTTGAGTAACTCGGTGCACGATCTTCTGTCTCTCAAAGGGCGAACCGTTGTAATCACAGGCGGAGCTCGTGGGCTCGGGTTAGCGTTTGCGTTGGCAGTCGCCGAAGTGGGAGGCAATATCGCCATTCTTGATGCAGCCCAAGAGCCCCATGATCACTTCTATCAAATTGAGAAAGCGCACGAAATCAAGATCAAGTACTATAGGTAGGCATCACTTGCGATTCGTGGCGCAAATTTACGTGGCTGACAAGGCTTCGCCACTCTAAGGAGCGACGTGACAAATTACAAAACTTTGAAAGAGACATTCAGCAACATTGTCAAGGACTTCGGTCGAATCGATGGACTGTGAGTCATCCTTGCTCTAAAATGCGAACTTCTCTGGGTCTTACGCATCGTAGTGTCACTGCCGCTGGCATTTGTCCCGACGAGCCGTTCTTGCAAAGAAGCCCCGAGTCCGTGGCCAAATGCATGAACATTAATGTCCTCGGTACTTACTATGCCGCGCAGCTAGCAGCTGCTCAGATGGCTAGCCAAGATCCAACCGATTTCAACCCGCGCGGAGGCTCAATCGTCATGATAGCATCAATTGCTGCGTACGTCGCGAGCAAAGGCCAAACAACCAGTGACTACTGCTGCAGTAAGGGTGCAGTGGTTGCCTTGGCTAAAGCTCTCGGTGTCGAGCTTGCTGCGAGCGGTATCCGCGTGAACAGCATCTCTCCAGGGTCTGTCATACATTATTCTGTGTCGTCTCGAAAGCCTGTGAATACTAACATGATACGCAGATACATGGCGACTGACATGACGCTGGACTTGTGTAACCGCTATCCCCATCTTGGAGAAATAATGAACACAGAGCCACCAATGCGGCGAATGGGTGATCGCACTGATCTGAAGGTTCCTGTGGTGTACCTGCTGTCAAACGCGAGCGCCTACCACACCTCAGATGACATCTTGATAACTGGAGGTATACATGCTGGCAGGTTGATGTAGAGTAGAGTTAGTAGCATGAATCAAGGTGGCATCAACATTTCATCTTCGTTTTCATTCGAAAGAAATTGACTTGTGTCCTTTTTCTCTTTCAATGAATGAAAGTATCGAGGCTAATCTGTTTATCCTCGTGTGTTTGAAGTGCCCGTTTCGATAGAACACCGTATTTTGGTAGCAGTTCATGAGATGCTCAGCGATAAATCAATGGCGTTGCACGTTATGCACCTTCTGCAGCAAGTACTAGGTATTCATTTCCTTTGCAGCTCAGTAGTTTCAAGTCACCAGCCACATATTGCACTCAGCTGAACTGGCTCTTGGTGTTATAATTTGTACGGTTTGGCAGCTGTGAAGTTCCGTGACTCAATGCTGCTTATACGAATACTGGCGCAAACGACAGCCGCATTTGTGTTGAACTTCATATAATGCGAAATCGACCTACTTTTGGTTCAAATTACCGAGCGTTATCGTAGTTACACGTGCTTAGCACTACCACCTATGGGGCCTTGTAAAAGAAGCTAACAGGTGGGCAGGTCAGAAACTGCCAAGAAAAGAGTTCTAGCAGCACTACCAACTTCCTAAAGGTTTTGACTTAATGTTTACTAAGAAGTTCTTTATTATCTGCGCTACATCAGCAAACTCATAATTACCTCCTTATCACTGGATTAGGGGCTAATTTTGCGGACGATGCCAGCTAGGATTCTCCCATTTTTACTTCATACAGTAGGCATAGCTCGCACAACCATGTCGATCTAGCTAAAAGACTTCGGCGTCACTCCGCCGCTCACTCATAACACGGAGTTAATTCAGGGCGTATCTCCCTTCTCTGCATTTTCTGTTTGCCGATCATGGTCTGGGTCCGGGTCCGGGTCTGGCTCGCGATCCCGGAGATGTGTGGCCATGCTTTCGAGTAGATGGATCAGACTTCCCTTGACACCAGTTGGAGAGTGAAAAAGAACCGTCGCTTTGAGGGTACGACGGCTACTCGGGTCTGCCGGGATGCAGCCAGGGATTGGCGAATACCACTTGGTTAAACCAGGCTTAGCCGCGCCCGGGGTTGACGGGCAAACCGAGGGGCTAGCTTGTAAGCCAAAGGATGGTGTCAATGAGAGGTCGCCCGTGGTCTTCTAAGTTGAGCTTCGAACAGCTTCGGTGGGTCGTGGTGGTCATGGTGTTGCATAGTCATGGTGATGTCGAGTGTTGGTGTGCAAGTCATCGGCTCGGTATTTGCAACTCCGTATGATTAGTGTGTGACAGCAAAGACGAGAAATCAACGAGCCATCTCCGGTGTTTAGGGTTCAAGTCGCCAGTCATGTACAAAAGATGAAGAACCCATCGCAAGCAGTTGATGACAAGGGCAACCGAACAGGAAGCGCTTCCGTGGTGGACATATTTGGAATGTACCGTGTCTGATTGGTCGTGTTGTTGCGATAACCCCCAGATGTCCTGGAACGTAGACCGGCTGGGCTGTGTCAGAGTCCGGTGTGAGAACTGATGTTTTGTGGCCATGTAGGCTATCCGTAACATCCATATTTTAGCCACTATCATCAAGCTTTCTTGACGGCCCTTGGAGGCCTGTTTATTGTCGGACTTGGCTCCGTACTCCGACCACGTGACCCTCTTCTTCAGGAAGGCAGCTGTCAGATCGGTCGGCATAGCACGCCGTGGAAGCCGCCCTTTGGCGCATTGCAGCAGAGGAGACTTCGGACGGCCCCACAACTGATAATGTCCCCTAAATTTGGGCCTGGACTATTCCCAGAGATGCATTCTTTAACTTATCTATGCTCACTTATTTGCGTTTGCCTTACCTGAAACCCCTGTTAGTGTGCGATTTATTGCCCCTCTATACTACTTTTTGCTATTAACGATAATGCTACTAATATTAATTAATATACTTCTTAATATAATTTAAGCTTTTTAATACTATTTAGAGCGTAATATAGGTATAATATTATAATATTAGAGTAGGATAATAATAATCTAGCTTCTATATAACTAGTATAGTTATTAAAGCTAGTAGTATTATATAAAAGTGAGAATATCTCCTTAAAACTAGGATTTCTACTAATAAGACTAGTAATATAAAAATCCTTCTTACTTACCTTAGTTCTCTAAGAAGAAGATTATAAGAGAGAGTTTATACTATATTAACTTTAATCTAACTTAAAATATATTATTTTTAATAAAATAGCTATAATAAGGAGCTTTTAGCTAACTATAAAAAGGATAATAAACTCCTCTACTAACTCTAAGAGAGGTAAAGCTAGCCTAATTAATAGGGGGTATAGTAGTAATTAGAACTCTTAAAGTAGAGTAAATATAAGAGGAAGAGGGTTTTATATTAGTAGTAGTATATATAAACCTATAATTAAAGTTATTACTTAATAGCTTTAGCTATAAATAAACTTTATAGATAAATAGTATAACTTATTAGTACTAGAGGTAATAGATAATAGTATTAATAAAGTTAAGGAGATATAATAGCTAGAAGTTAATAATACTAAGGTTATTATTAAGGCTATTACTAAGGCTATTATTAAGACTATTATAGAGCTACTAATTAATCTTATTACTAAAAAGAATAATCCTTTTAAGGAATATTTATTACTACTTCTATTATAATTATTACTATTACTATTATTTCTTATAGAACTTTAAGTTTATATAGAGATTAAGATTTCTAGGAATAGTATTAAGATATAACTAGATATTAAGGTTAGGGAGATTAAATAAGAGAATATAGATAACTAAACTAAGTATATTATTTATAATATAATTAGAAACTTCTATTATAAGTGTACTTTATAGTATAGTAATTACTTTTTTATATTTAACTCTACCTAAGTTACCTTCTTCTCTAGTTTAAATTATTAAGCTATATTCTCTAAAGAGATATTTTATATTAACTACTAAAAGCTTAATAACTAGGACTTATAGCTATTTAAGTATTAGGGATAGATTAGTAATACTATTAAGAATAATAAGAGGAAGAATAAGTTATTATAGGTTAAGATTATTACTTTTACTATATTAAAATTACTTAACTAGTATATACTAATCTTTATAGGCTATTATTATAAATTTTAGTAGTTATCTTTAATACTATCTAGTATAGGTTCTACTTAAATAACCCCTTTAGTTAGAGTAATACTATTTTAAAACTCTATTAAGATACCTTTATAACTTAGTATAACTTTATAAACTTTATATTAGAATAATAACTTTATTAAGCCTATTCCTATTAGATTTAGTAATATTAGTAAACTGTTACGTTAATAGAGGTAATAGAGTAACTTATTATTAACTAGT